TTTAATACACGAGTTTCACAATTTGAGTTGAATTACTGAAATAAATGAACTTTTCCACGACATTCTAATTTATTGAGATGCACCTGTAAATACACACACATACAATATATATTTTGAAAATATTTACATGTATATGCATTTATATATTTATATTATTATATTTTATATTATATATTAATACATTTAATATGTAAACATAACATATTTTTCTTAAATATATACATGCATGTGTTTGTATTTATATATACATAATAAATATACACAGTACACACTTGTAATACAGTTCGTTTAAGATGAAGGACGAGGAAGTCAAGGGTGGCGAGTAAACCTCTTTATTCACTCCCAAATAAAACAGAACAAAAAATAAAGTGCAGCTCTGCTCTCTGCCTCCACAGTCTGGTATAAGGACACATACACGCACTCTGCTCAGACTCTCTCTCGGATGCAGCTCTCCCTCCTCTCCCCGGCCTGCGGGGCGCTTATCTCTCGTCTCTCCCCAATCACTGGAATTACAGACAGGTGTTAATCATTATTCACTTGACCTCCTTATCACCGCTCGTCTCCAAACCCTTTCTCCCGCTGCAGCCTTTCGCCTTCCCACGCCCCCCTCGCCACAAGACTTATATATTATGTAAACAAAAACGTTTATTTTGGATGCGATTAATCGCGATTAATCGTTTGACAGCATTAATATATACTGTATATATACTGTAATTATATATTAGTTTTAGTTTATTTAGTTATATAGTTTTTATTAATATTTTTTTATTAGTTTTATATTATTTAGTTTGTTATTTTGTACTTAAACTAAATTAAAATGAGTAATGTTGAAATAAAATTTCATGTTTTATTTGAAGTATCATTGATGTACAGTTATAGTTTTTTTTGTTTGTATTTTAGATTTTATTTTTACTATATACAGTATATATATATATATATATATATATAGTGTGTGTGTGTGTGTGTGTGTATACATGCATATGTTGAATTAGATTAGATTTTATTTTTATATTTTCACTTTTCAGCTTAAATTTTTGTTGTTTGGTTTTGTCATTTTGTTTAATTTTTTTATGATCTTTTTTAAATGCATGTTTATTATTCAGAAATTTTAGTTCCCCTTTAGGAACTCGAGCAGCGTCGAAACGCTATGGGAATGCCTTCAGCATGACCACGCTCTGAATCACGTGTGTAATCAGTCCAATGGATGGGCGAGACATCATGGGTGGGGTGACGTAGCGACCAGGAAGCTTAAAAGCACGTGCGGTGGATACAGCAGCAGCTTTCTGTCATTCAGCAAGCGCTCTGTGTGTGTGTCAGTCTACTATCCATTTGTGAGTCTTTAGTGTTGTCTATCCCTCACTATAAGCATCATAATGCCAAAAGCTCTCTCGAGGGAGCTGACTGCCCGCATTGCGAGCGTCTGCCACTGCGTACGCTTCGCTCTCGGTAGGCTCTCTTCGAGAAGGGAGCCTTCATCAGCGTTCCTTGTGGTGCCGGCCCCGCTTCCGCCGCGGTTTCTTCCCCCCAGGGAGAGGGCTCGACGCGCCGCCTGTCTTCCTCCGAGGAGGTTGACGTGGAGGGCGTCGATGAGGACTCGGCCCCTCAATCACCCCAGTATGAGGAGCTGTTGGAGGTGGTTACTCGTGCCATAGCCAAGCTGAACATCGAGTGGACCGCCGAGAAACAGGCTGAGCCACAGAAAAGCAAGCTAGATGAACTCTTTCTGCGGAGCAAGCCGCCACCTCCACGCCGGAGCCTGCCTTTCTTCCCCGACCTCCACACCGAGGTGTCGAGGTCGTGGGCTAGACCATTCTCGGCCCGTATCTCCAGTCATTATGCCAATGTGGCGAGGTTGAGTGATCACGGTTACAGGGCGATGCCCCGGTTTGAGCAGACGCTTCCGAGCTATCTGTCCCCTGGCGCGGCATCGTCCCTGAAGGCTCCGGCATTGCCCTCCAAGCCACTGCGGACCACCTCAGCGCTGGTGGGCAAAGGGTACACGGCAGCGGGTCAGGCTGGTGCTTGCTTGCACACCATGGCGGTGCTGCAGGCTTATCAAGCCGACCTGCTGAAAGAGCTGGATGAGGGCGAGGAGATTAAGTCTGAGGACATCACAGAACTCAGACGAACCGCTAATCTGTCTCTCCGTGCCACCAAAGAGACTGCTTGTGCCATTGGCAGGTCTATGGCAGCACTGGTGGCGGCGGAGAGACACCTATGGGTTGACCCTGTCTGATATGAAAAAGAAGGACAGGGTCTTCCTCATGGACACTCCGCTTGCGCCTTTTGGTCTGTTCGGTGACGCCATCAATTCCGTCGTGGACGGGTACCAGGAGGCTCGTAAACAAGCGGCAGCATTTCAGCAGTTCCTCCCTCGCCGCTCTCTAGCTCTTGGGGCTGCCAGGCGGGAGCAGCCCCCTCCATGTACCAGCTCCTCATACCAGGAGGCTCAAAAGCAGAGCATCGCCTCCCATGCTCCCCCGCGTCGGGACTGGGAGCCCCAGCGGCGCTCTAGGCCGGGGTCTTCTAAGACGAAGCCGGATCTGTGGACCGTTCTTACGTCTAAAAGACCTCGGCCAAGCAGTCCTTGTGGCTCAGGACTTCTGAGGACAGGCCCCTCTGGGGAAGAGGTGCCCTCATACGGTGCCCGTCTCTCCTCAGTTCCCTCAGGAGATCGATCTGCCAACCCTGCCACCCACGGTGCTTCAGGGCGCAGCGGTCTCCGGCGATCGCTTCTCTCAGTCACCGCCCGGAAACGTAGCGGTACTAAGAGGCCTGCTACCTCCCAGAGGTCTCTAGAGCAGCTAGTTCGGTTGTCCCCTGCCGGTCCGCCGTTTCAGGGCACCGAGCTAGACGCTCTGATTACACCAGAGGTCAGTCTCGAGAGACTGATTCCCTTAGTAGACTATTTGGCAGCATGGAAACTTCTGCCAAATGTGTCTCAATGGGTCCTGCACACTGTAGAAAAAGACTACCACATTCAGTTCGGTTCTCCTCCGCGTCCTTTCAACAGGGTCATTCCCACTCTGGTGGGCCCTGAGCAGGCTCTGGTAATGGAACAAGAAGTAAACACTCTCTTGAGGAAGGAGGTCATCGAGGTGGTCCCTCCTCTCAACAGAGAGTCTGGGTTCTACAGCCGGTACTTCATCATTCCAAAGAAGGATGGAGGGTTGCGTTACGAAGCACTTCGCACTTTTCCCAGACCTAAGAGATCGCCATGTGTTGGTGTGTACCGACAACACAGTGGTGGTCTCTTACATCAACCACCAGGGAGGTCGGCATTCGCACCCCCTTTACAGGCTGGCGCACCAGATCCTTGTGTGGTCCCAGGGCAAACTCCTGTGCAGTTCACATCCCTGGGCATCTCAATATGGGAGCAGACATCCTGTCAAGGCAAGGGCCGAGACCCCGGGAATGGAGGCTTC